CGACCGGCGACCACGAGTCGGAGGCGCAGCGGGTGACCCCGGAGCCCCAAGCAAGGCGAGCAAGGGGGCAGGGCGGGCGGGAACCAGGCCCGACGCCTGTGGCCCCGTCCCTTATGGGACACTGACAGGCGGGGTCCACCAGGCCGTTGTTCCCGGCCAGACAGGGGAACGGGAGTCTTTTCGCCTGGTGAGGAGGCTGGTGCCTCACCGGTGAGGCAGGCGCCTCCAACACGTGGCCAGCAGGGGGCGCCTCGGCGGGCGCTGCCGTCACGCGGCCAGCAGGGGGCGCAGCCGTTGTCGCCTCGGGTGGTGCCGCAGGCAGAGCGGTGTCAGCTGCAGGGACTGCAGGCAGAACAGGCGGGTCAGGCAGGACAGGCGGTGCCGCGGGCGGGTCCGGAGCAGGCAGGTCCGGAACGGGCGTCAGTGCGGCGGCAGCAGCAGCGAATTCCGCCGTGCCCCAGACGCTCCGGCCGATAAAAATAAGCCTCCAATGGAGGCAGCTGCTCGCCGTGGAAGCTGGCTAGGCGGGCAGCGGCGGTGTCATCCCAGGCGGGGAGGAGAGAGCAGGCTCCCAGGAAGAGCGATGGAGTTTCTTCCCGCTGCTCCTCCCGTCGCTCGGTAATTTCCGGGCTTTAGTCAGCGGGTATTCCTGCCCAGCTGGGCGGTCCTTGCCAAGGAGGTCCGCGCCCCGGTTAGCCAACTCCAGGGCTACGGGGTCCTCCTCGACTTCTGGCTGGGAACGCCAGTACACAAAGTCCTGCAGCAGACCGAGCCAGTGGTGTTCAAAAATATCAGTTCCCAAACTGTCTATAGCTTCACCAAAAAGATGTATGTGTTGGCTGAGGTGTGGCAACTGTTCATCAGTGGGTGTAAATTGGTTCAAGGGAACCTGGACTCAGGTACTCTACCCCCCTGGTCGGCTGCTGCAGCCACTCTCCAACCTCCTGGTGCAGCTGTTTCGTGGTCCTGTGCTGCAGTCACTACCCGATCTTCCCCTGAAACCGGCTGCTCATCCACTCCAAATACACCTTGGACACCAGTGTGATGCACCTGCTGTGACAGGCAACCTTGCACAAAAATCTGATTTGGTGACATGTGTCTGGCAGTTCCTGTTCGGTGGTGGTTCGATTGATTTACGAACAATTTGAGGTCATGATTTATCCAGGGCAGGTATACAAAGTGAAGAACCAAGTGGTGCATTTCGCTCCTGGAGTTCATTATACCTTCATTCTCCAGCTATGTGAACAATGAATGGTTTGTAACTCCTTTCCAGACATCACCCCAGTCTCTCAATGTGTTGGTTATGCGTGCTTATTCCTCTTATAGCACTTCCCCGGTTTGAGCCTCGGAAGTCATCCATAAAGAGACAAACAGCATTGTTTTCCCCTCCATGATCACATCTGACTCTGGATGGGACATCATAGTGGCTGATAGCCTCAACAAACAACTCCATTACAGTTTCACTTCTGTTGTTGTCAGAACCTTGAAGGAATACCACAAGTCTGCTGTAGCCATCAGTTCCTCCATGGATCACAATCCTCCATCTAAAAAGAGGAAAAAGGAGTTAAGAACATAAGAACATAAGAACAATACAAACGAGAGGAGGCCATTCGGCCCATCGAGCTCGCTTG